TTCTTCTTGTTTATTTTCTCGTTCTTCTTGTTTCTTTTCTTTTTCCTCTAACAACTGTTGTAATTTCTCTTCTCGTTCTTCTTGTTTCTTTTCTTGTTTTTGTATTGCTGCCATCAAGTCTGCTAAGCTGTAGTTTGATTTTCCGCCTCTCGTTTCCATTTTTCTTCTCGTTTTTTTTCTATCCCACTTTCTGACATCAATTTGTTACGTCTCCGTTTGCTAATTGATGGGTTATAGTGTTTGTTTTAGCGCGAGTATTGAGATTAAGTGTATCGCAGAGTTATATTCGGAAAGAATAAACCAGTTTTATTAAGTAAAGACTTGTGTCGTTAAAGTTTCGTTGGAACGAAGTTACGAAAAAAGAACTGTTACGTCTCCGTGCTCTCTGACTGCAGATCAATTACTCACTGTCTATACACACACATCACCTTAAACTCGCGTCACGTTGTCCCCTCTTATATATACCAAACTACCCTATATCTAGCAAATACTAGAGCATTCACCAAGATACGGGATAGTTCTAAAAACGTGGCGTCACTGTAGTCATGCAATCTCGATGACGCAACAATATCATGAACTAATAAACAACAAGCTTTTCAAAGTAATTTGTAAGTGGAAAACGTTTGGAAGCTTGCCAAAAAAAATAGATAAGTAAAACCTTGAAACAGTAGAGTCTTATATATGAAGTCATTTTTGTTTTTGCTCAAGTGTTAAGATAAACCAGAAAGTACAATCACGTGATTTATCTGGAATAGTCAGACTTGTAGGCTGTTGTGATAGTTGAACCTCGTTGATAAGAGTAAAAGACGTCGTATGATAAATACTGAAATTAAAGCTTTCGCTTAAATTAAAGGTAAGATAAGGCCTAATATATTTATTAGTTAAACTAATTGTAAGGTATTAAAATACAGTCTGAAACTCGACTATAAAATAATTATATATATAAGATTGACAGGAACGTTTACTAAAGAACAGTCTAGCTTAACAAATTTCATAGGTTTATATTTGTCTGTTCTAACTAATTGTTGTAATCAGCTTAGACGTTGAGGTCGACTCTGTTCAATTAAATGAATGGAGTCGAGAACTTGTACAGTAGTAACAGAAATAGGAATCGATAATTTTTGAGATCGGATTTTATTGCTAATGTGTCCACATCACTTCAAAATGTTATATCTATTTTACCGTTTATAAGTACTTACGTTTTCGTCCCTTAGTGGTATAGCGGTAAATCTACGGATTTACAACGGTAAAATCCGGAGTTTGATTCCCTGCGGTGGACAAAGCAGATAGCCCAATGTGGCTTTGCTCTAACACAAACGAACGAATTTACGTTTTCATACTGTAAATATTTAATATATAAAAATGTAAAAACATTTAATTTGTCAACAGTATTATAATTCAATAATAGTCCAAATTTTTGTTTGCTTGTTGATAAGCGCAAAACCACACAAATGGTTATCTTTATTCTGCTCACTGTAGATATCGAAACTCGATTGCATCAAGTCCAAATAATGGGCGTTATATAAACTGCTATGGTAGATCGTTTATATTTTACTAAATGAAGTGATGTCAGTGTTATTGTGGTATTCTCTGGTGCACTGATTTCCATTAAGAGTAATCGAGTAATAATAAGAGGTTCTACAGAAGATATATTAGTGAGTTTGAAAACATAAAGAAACAGTAAACGATATGCATCATAATGAAACAATCTTCATTCAGCTCACAAAAAACAATCACAAATATTGTATTTGCAAAGAACGGGGCACTTACTAGGGAGAGCTTTGTTTACTAACCTTAAGAAGAATTATATATCTTACTATATTTGTCCCAGGCTGAGAAAATATAGAATTATATACTGAAAAATATAATATTACTCTTCTCAGGGCACGTACGCTTCTCACATAACTGTCGGTCATTCCCATAGAGAGAGAAAAAAAAGATGTTGTATCTACGAGGGATCACGTGACCTCCAAAGAGAAAATATCATGTTTATATTTATATACTATACTCAACTATTTTTGAAATACTTGTTTATTGTCGGATATGCAGAGTATAGTATTTGTAAACGTAATTATTATGCTCTGTATATCGGACAATAAACAAGTTTTACGTTTTACGTAATAGGGTACTTCCTTTTATTATATGTTTTCAACTTTATATCCTATTCTGCAAAACTAGTTGAAAATCACAGTCAGTTTTACAATGAAACCGATATA